AGTGGGGGCCGCCCCTGCCCCTCGTCCAGCTGCCACACAGTGCTGGATCCTGGGCCACCCTGCTCCGGGTTGAGGCGGAAGTGGCTCAGGCGGTCCTGGGCATACTTGTACTCACCGAGCCGGCCAGGTGGTGGGCTCTGGCGAGGTGTCTTTGGCAGGGTTTGGTAGACATCCACAGTGGTGAACTTGTGCTGGGTTGGTGGTGTGCGACGAGGGAGGGTGTTCTCTCTGGATGGAGGGCTTTTTAAAAGGAACAGCAGAACACAAAAGGATATATTTAAAAACAAACAAACAAACAAACAGACTATAATTTCAGAGGGCATCCGAGCTGCAGGGCAAGTTCCTGTTCAATCTAAAAGCAAAGACCACTACAGGAACTCTTCACTCTACTTAAAGACCACCTCCTACACTAACATACTAGACCACAGATTTTTTTTTACTTTGGTTGGTATCTAATTCATATAAACAGAAAATACTGAAATCAACCATTTTAAAAGTTTGTGTAATTTCCATAAAATAAAGCAATAGATAGTAAAGATAAAGCCTGTTCTCATCATCTATGAGAACACATGAAAGGACCTACCCTTTGTGCTCAGCCTTCTGCACTTTGACCCACTGCTCTACTTGCTCCAGAGCACTTCTCCTGTGCACCTTGTCGTTGGTGTTAGCCGGGGACGACACTGGGGCCCTCTGGTACGTCCCTGCTGCGATTCCATTGGGCTCCAGGATGGGGCTTGGCGTTGAGATGAGGCCATTCCTCGTGCAAACGCCGGAGGGCAGTGTGGACGCAGCTCGTGACGGTGCTCTGGATGGCACCCTGGACACAGGCGCTGAGGCTGACACATGGTCCGACTGCGGGAGGGTGGAGGGTGCAGGGTTACAGGGGAGGGAAGTGTGCGTGTCCATTTCCAGGCCTGTGCTTCCTATGGGATGCTCCAACAATGTGGTGGCAAGAGAGTCTTTGTGGAAACTGCAGCACTCCTCTGTGTCACGGTGCATGGGCTCCAAGAGAACCTCGTGGATTAGTGATTTTGCAGCCTCAGAGTTCAAAGTCCTGGTCTTGTGGTGGTTTACATGGTTGGTCTGCGGGACAGCCTGCTGCTGCAACATGCCAAACTTCTCCAACTTGTCAGACGGTCTGTGGAGAGTAGAGATTACATGAAAAACCTGGATTAATGTTGGTCTTTTAAACTCTTATACTTTTTGTAACTTTCTCTTCAACATTGTGAGAGTTTTATTCCTGAGAGAACTGGATGGAAAATTAACTTCAGCAGTTATCCTGACAGCTTAAACTTCTCATAGGATTTCAGTGGCTTTTACTCACTAAGCACCAGTTCTGTTTCGTTCGATCGCTTCGCTGATATCCCATGGACATTGTGTTCCACCATTTCAGAGGTTTAAGTCTTTGTTCTGTTGTACTGAGCTGAATTTGAACTAGATGACTGTCACATGAAAGAGAAACTTTTAGCCTCATATTCAACTTTAAGGACATTACCAATAGCATCTCACAGGCCATTTTAAAGCAGGGCAGATGACAAGCAAAGCTATAAAACCACAACTTGACTTTAAACTCTTTATAGAAATCCCATATGACAAGAGGAATTCGAGCAGGTCTCTAAAATCCAGTGAAGCACACATCAAAGTTTACTGGCATGCTCACAGCCAGCGACTGGTATCTGAAGATATTCAATATAAATAAGTACTGCCCTCATCAGATCATGTTCAATCAGGCACACAAGGCATTACCTTCGTTGCTGACAAAGCATTCCATTAATTCACATTAGAGATGCATTTGCATCTTTTACAAGTAACTGAACTCTTGAAAAAGAAGTGCAACATCTCAGTAATACTACTGGTGCTTTCTCAGAGAAGAAAACACCAACACTGTTTACTCCAACTGGTTTCTCTTCTGTCATGCACTAGAAACTAGTGTAGTCTTGCGGGATTTCCCTTTCAACGATCAAAAAACAGAAACAAAGCGGTTCGAGCTGTGGGTATCTGAAGCTGCCAGCGAATGTTAGGATGTATTTGATCTGTGCCACCTCCTCTCTACAGCAAATAAATAATACATGAAGGAAGCCAGCGCTCCTTCAAAAACACCATTTCACAGCATCAGAATGTACTCTTTGAAATCAAGCAAGCACATAAACAAATGCACCACGCTCATATGCTGCAGCAGCAGGACTGAATCAGATCTGTCAACACTGGAAAAAGCATAATGTGACATTTTCCAGAAATTAGTGTAATCAGTAATGACATAAGAGGCCAAAGACTTCACGAAGGCATGTGTTTACAGGGTATGACGATTGAAGCTATCACATACAGTACCATAAACACTGTCACGTCACATGAGCACTTAGCCTCTATGATGTTTTATGGATTGTAGTTGCAAACATTTATGAACAGTCGACTGACAGATGAGATGCGTGTGTGTGTAAGGGGGTATAGTAGGAATTTGTGTGATTTGATAGCACATCAATAAACTAAAATCATGTGCCTCAGGAACTGCAAGATCAGATTAAAAAACAGCATCATCAGAATCAGAATCATTTGCCATTGATTGACAGGTGAACTCTGGGACATGTAGTGCAAAGTAAAAGTAGGACTATGTATTTGGTTTCTCTATCGTCTGTATATGTACGTTTGTATATGTGCATTTTTAGGCAGGTTTGTACATTTTGGAAGCTAGGGATGGGTCAGATGGCAAAACTGTTTTAAATCAAGGTTGAAATTACAATATCAGCAACGACCACAAGGGGGAGATCATGGTGTAAGGTAGAGAAATCAATGCTTTGTCACAGAGGAAGAATAGTTACCTGAAAGTTATTGTTGTGGCAAAAGTTTATATTTTTCATGCATTTTTTAATTAAAAGAGTAGTTTAACCATTAGGTTCCTTGAGTATGTTGGCAACATTGCTTCTACATGCACTGTGTGTGTGTGTGTGTGTGTGTGTGTGTGTGTGTGTGTGTGTCTGTGTGCGTGTATGCGGACCAACCTGATGAGTGTGTCAGTTTGGCTTTGCATCAGTGCAGCCTGGTTCATGGCCCTCAGCCAGGTGTTCATGTCCTCTTGGGTGTCAGTGCTGAAGTAATACGTCCGCATCCCCGTGTGCTCCGCCTGTGAGCCAATCACAGAGCTCTGCTTGTAAATGTACGAGTGTATACCAGTGTGTGTAGCCTATAGGAAGAGAAAGGAGGCAGGGTCAGTGTCGAGGTCAGAGAAATCAGCTGAGAGACGGTGGGTTAAATGAGCTTCGGCTTTGGTCAAGAGACGGGGGGGATATCATGCTGTCCAACAACAGAAACAACATCAAGGGAAACATAAGCATTGATCAGTGCAGAGAGAGCTCATGAAGGAAATCACACAATAGAAATACAGAGACAAAAATGCAAGCCATTATGATCAACAAAACCACGACCTTTGACCAATGACTTCAGTACAATGGAGAATAAAAAATGTGATTGTCTCCTCACAAACCTGCTTTTTCCTGCTGTTACAGCTCGGACAGAAGAGCAGCAAACACTTTACAAACATACACTGTGAACCCATAAGAGACTTTCACTTATGCTTGCTATATTTTTAACAGTATATCTCAAACAGAAAGGTAGAAACACAGTGGTGTGGACAGCAACGAGGCAGTGTGAAATGCAAACCCGATTAGATTCCGCACCTTGACAGGGTAATTGTACCCTGATTCAAGTGCAGATTTTTTAACAGGTATATTCAAACTCAAAATTAATATTTCTTCATATGCAAATTAAAAAGGCTATTAGTTAGGCGATCTAACACACAACCTTCGGAATGTGACAGTGAAGAGGAAATGGACACCATTTCAATACTGGGTAGGATTTAAGCATGCAGTGTGCAAGATATAAAAAGAAATACTGCAGGAAACTGAACAGAAAATCTGATGACTTATAAGGCAGAACCATTTCAAGCAGTATACATCTACAGTAACAAACAGTTTTCTGTGTGCCTATAAAAGAAATTATCTGCTCTGTTTAACTGCACAGTACTGTATATATCACTATTACTGTGAGTTCATCAAAGTTCAATGATACCGCTCTAATCTGGGTTCAGTGAATAGTTGTTCCCAAAAACCACTGAATTTTGGCCTACTACACTAGTAGTACACTGTCTCTGCTTCTTCTCCTGTAGATTTCTACCTCAAAATCGGTTGGACTGGCCGAGTCCAGAGAAGCTGTGAGAGGCTGTCACAAAGACGTTCAGTGTTTTATAATTTAAATGTTTAATATGCCCCAGTAAAATCTAGTAACAGTGCATCACTAAGAGCTGTTTTTTTAATTAATAGCATCTAAGTGATTGGTATCCTTGTTAAAGACGTCCTTGCTGCGAAACTGAGGTTATTAGAGGTTTTCTGAGCCGCTCTCCACTAAGCACAGCACAGCTCTATAAATGTCCTACTTTTCCCTCTCTGCCTTTCCTTCCTTCAGTGTTTCTGTAGTTGGAATCGGAAGACGAGTGAAAGAGCCCACTCAATATTAGATGCGTGCAACTGAAAAGTAATTAAATGCTAAATTTTCTGTACCCTAATTCATTCACTGAATAATGAATGTTGGATAATAAGTGTGTGTGGAGTGTTGTGTCATGGCTGCAGCACCATTATAGCTCTGTGAGTTCTTTATTTGGTTTATACTGTGATAAAATGATTCCTCAGCAATTTGGCTTCTTGTCTGCAGGGTGACGGTAATCGGAAACACACCACACCCACTTCATGTAGTTAAATGTACACACGGAACATGTTCATGAGTAATATGGCACAGACTGGGACCCCTGCTGTTCTACCTGTTACTATAAACTATGAATAAAACTAACAGAATATCATTTCTTTACTCACTATGCACTCAATTCCTGATCCTGGTACATATTTTAAAAACTGGGAGCTGACTACACTACTCACTCGATTTTCTGAGATCCTGATAACGTTACAAGTGTCCTAACTCATGGTGCTCAGACAGAAGACCACTGAGGAGGAGAATGCATGACTGCGCCACTGTGTGGAAATGAGCAGAGGCAATTGAAAAAACCTTAGAAAAAAATCAACTGGACTTAGATTTCTAGATCGAAGACGTTTCACCTCTCATCCAAGAGGCTTCATCAGTTCTGACTAAATATCTCCGGCTCAACACCAGTCAGTCAGAACTGATGAAGCCTCTTGGATGAGAGGTGAAACGTCTTCGATCTAGAAATCTAAGTCCAGTTGATTTTTTCTAAGGTTTTTTCAGTTTACTATGACCTGGATGACTGAGAATCTGCACAGATGAGCAGAGGCAATGGTCTTTATTCCAATCTGGTGTTGCATTCAGTGCCTTTTGAATGACAGCAGTTTGACATAATCTACAAAGTAGCTTCAGCTTTTCAGGGCTACAGGGGAGATGCCTTTCTATTCTACTAGATAATTCAAATTTCCTGACAGATGGGACTCACTTCCAAATTAGACTAAGTGACAAATGACTCAGGTCCAAATGACTTTCTAAGTGACTTTTTCCATCATAAAACAGAACTATGCAGGTTTCCATTCCAACCAAACACTATAGCAGCAGATTTTTATCATCTGACAGGAAAAGTGAACAAACTCATGTCCATGTCAGGCATGGAGATGAGTCTGGGTACATCAGATGACAGGAAACAGGCATGGAAACTACTTGGCAACCAATCGCCTTCAAAGCAAATTAAAATGGGAGGGTTGTGCCGGGAAAGGCATCCGGTGTAAAACCTGTGCCAAATCTCATGCAGATCGCAGTACTCCGCTGTGGCGACCCCCAAAGCACAGTGTAGATGTGTCCAAAAACACCCTAAAAATCTTGACAAACAGAGTCACGGCATCCTCGGGAAGCAGCTGTCAAAACAGGCCTGTTCACTCCCCATCAGCACTCTGGCAGACAGACGCCCTCAGAGCTACAAAGGGACAGGCTGCTTGATGAAACAGGACTGTGCCGTTACACAGATGTTTAGGAATGTGCACCGATACTGGCAGGCGTGTGCACTGAACACTCACAGCACAGAGGCACAGATCCACATTTGTATTATAATTTGTTTTGTTGAATAAACTCAGTTCAAACCCTAAGCCTACATCTAATCTGACTTTTAATCTACACCCTACTCCCACAGTGTTGTGAACAAAAACTGACTTTATTTTGTAGACAATGTCATGATTCCACACCCAGGCGGCTTCCGTCAGACCATACAATAAGGTATATGTATAAAAGTTTTGTTGAATCACCAGCCTCAATTTTTGCTCTATTTTAGTTTTCTCAGGATGCACACACCCAGCGGCAGCAGCAGTAGGAACAAAATGCAGCACACACACCCGGCAATCTAAAAAAAAACATCAGGGGCCTCTGCACCT